ATTATTCACTAACCTAAAGCCTCGATAGCAGTTGAGACAACAACAGTTTCCACCCCATCAGGTATGGTACAATTAAAAACAAGAAGTCCGTTATTTCTCTTCGGAATAAACGTCAAACTGAATGACGTACCGGTAGGTGATATATCGTCGTCTAATTCAAACCATGGTTCAGGTCCGTCACCAACAAACTATCAAATGAAAACATCAAATTAGGAAGCAGAGGAAACGCCCGTGGTGCACGACCCGAGATTAGGCCGAATAATAGTAAAGATATATAAGACATAAACAAAATGATTATAATTAAATGTATGGGTTATAGTTCTCCTTATAAGCTACAGTGGCCTAACTAGAATTCAACGTGCTAAGCCAAGCATCTTCCTTACGGTTAGTACAGTGATTGATCATTATATCAAAATAATCACGGTTCACGATGTGCAAAGGATTAGCGATAAAAAGGCGATAACTTACCTTAATGTCCCTGATCAATGGACAGTCCTCCTCCGTTGAGGTGCAAGCACAGGTCAAAGTGACTGGTTCGTCTTCCCATAAGCTTACTACCGTCCGACTGGCAGTAAACTTAAACCCTGTTGGCACGAGAAGTTTCCATTTGTATCAAACTTACACACGCCAGCAACCGAACTCAGTTTTATGTACATACATATACGTATTATATGTACATATATATATATATATATATATATATATCTGTCTCTTATACACATCTAGACTAGATGTGTATAAGAGAAATAAATAATAGTATAATATAATAAATATATATAATATATAGGCCTAATAGTAGAGTAATAAGGTATAAAATAATAACAGTGCTCAGACAGGAACATAAGATGTTATAATCGTATAAGGCAGAGCCCCTTTAAAGAAAAGATATATTTTAGTTGTATGTATTATATTATTATTATTATTATTATTATTATTATTATTATTATTATTATTATTATCATTATTATTATTATTATTATTATTATTATTATTATTATCATTATTATTATTATATATTATTATTATTATTATTATTATTATTATTTAGTTGAGGGTGAATCAAACAAAATGTGTTATGCATTTGGACACTTACAGCGACTACATTATAATAAGCCATAATGTGTATATAAATGGAGATTTTATCACTAATGATAAGGAGCAGCTAGGATCATCACAGAACACTTTAAAGAAATATATGAAAATAAAAATATCAAAAGTAACTTAGGAATTTTAGCAATTTGTCTTATTCCTATAATTGATTTTGAACTTAGAAGCATCATACCTCGAACTCTAGCAATTTACTGTAAAGTACGGTGTACTACAAAACATGTGTTTCCCATCAAAGTTCTAGCAGAAAAAGCAACAGCGTGTACAGACTACAATGTAACTCTTATTTTATTTAATGTCCAGTGCTTTCGACACGGTCTACAAGAGCAAGCTCATATATATCATATCCACTATACTTGATCAGGATGAACTAAACTTAATTAAGATCATAACGGTAGTGGCTATTGGTACTGTCGCAAAAAAGCTGCTGTTTTCTATCGGCACTGCCGCAGTGCCAAAAAGCTGCCGTTTTCTATTGGCACTGCCGCAGTGCGAAAAAGTTGTTGTTTTCTAATGGCACTATATAATTAAACGAAATGAACGTCACACATGAAAAAGTGTAAGTACTTAGGAAAAATACTTGGTACAAGAGAAGACATCAAACTTCGTAAAGTCTTAGCCATACTAGCCTTTAACAGAATAAATCAAATTATCACAAACAAAAAACTTATAATACAACTAAAGATGAGAATTTTCAGTGACATACCGGTATGTCACAAGTATCTTTCTCCATACTTCTGAACTAATTCTGGACCATGATCAAAAGCCTGGAACTCGAAATTGACATCTTTCAACGAAAGTTTATTAGGAATTAGGAGTTAAAGATACCATAAAAGTAGAAATGATGAATTATACGAGAAAGCAAAAGAAAGGGAATGGAACAACTCAATTGAAAGGAGAAGATTGACATAGTACGGCCACATGCATGGCCGGCGGAAGCGGTGGGGCCGGGGGGGGGGGCCGGGCGATTTTTTTGGCGAAAAATATATAATGTCTGGAGAATTTTGTATGATCAGAAATTCAAAAAAAGAAGGAGGGAAGAAGGAGAAGGATGGGAAAGAGCATGTTTATCCAGTACCCGACCGATTTACATTTTCTCGCAATTCACATTGGCGGATCTGGGGGAAGGGGGATCATTGGTCCTGACCCCTCCCTTGGGCAACAAAAAAAAGGGGAAAAGAAAAGAATTCTAGACCTACCTTTTCAGGACCCGTGAGTTGATTTTTTTTTTTTTTTTTTTTTTTTTTTTTTTTT